TCCTCGAGGTGCTCGTACTGACGGTACTGGAGCTGCTGGGACTGGGGGCGCTGCTGGGGCTGCTGGAGTTGGTCCTGTTGGACGTACTGCTGGAGCTGCTGGCGGTACTGGAGCTGACAATCCTGCTGGAGCTGAAGCTGCTGGAGCTGCAGCTGTTGGGGGTGTTCGCGCTGGTGGTGCTACTAGCGCTGGTGCTTCAAAGGGTGCTGGGGTTGGCGCTGTTGGAGCTGGAGGTACTGCTGGCGCTGGTGTTGCAGCTGGGGGTACTGGTGCTGTCCCTGTTGGTTCTGGAGGCGCTGCGCGGCCGCGGCTGTACTTCGTTCCGCTCCTTGAGCAGGTTCTTGGTCTCCCGCCCTCTACTGGTCCTGCTCCTCCCTTAGAGTGTCCACAGCCTGTCCAGTCGCGGTCACAGTTACAGCCCGCCTCCCCCCTGTCTGCTCCTTCTCCCTACACTGGTCCTATTGGAGGTCTTGCTGAGCGTCGTGAGCCTGCGTCTCGTCCTGCGTTGCCTGTTCGTGCTGCTCGCACTAGTGGTCGTGCTCCGCGTCTGCGTCCTCTTGCGGTCCCAGGCACACACCAGATGGCACTGTGTCCTTCCACTGCTCCTCTGCGTGTCCCGTTGCCGTCTCCTCCCGAGTCCTCTCTTCCTATTCTTGCTGACCCGGAGTCTGACTCTCTTCGTGCTCCTAGTCCTACTGTCACGCGTCTCCTGGCTACTGTTGTCACTGACCCTTCCTTTGAGTCCACTGCTGCATCGGCCCTAGTTGCTGAGCTTATCGACTTTGCTGCTCGCTGTCATCTGGACTACGCTACTAGTCTTGTTGCTGAGTCTGAGTCTGTCTGTCCTCCGTCCGTCGAGGGTGAGTGTGCTCTTAGCACGGACGTCCTTGAGGACAGGCAGGAGGAGTTCCAGTGTTTTGCTGCTGCTTTGCCTCATCTCTTGTCCACGCTGATTGCCCCTGAGGGAGACCCGGATGCACCAGACATCCCGACTCCTCGATTGTACGCTGAGGTGATCGAGGGTCCCTACTCCTCTTAGTGGCAATCAGCCATGGACGCAGAGATGGCTTTCTGGAAGTCCACAAGCACCTACGTCGACGAGGTTCCCCCACCTGGGGCGAACATCGTCAGTGGCACATGGATTTTCAGGGTGAAGCGGCCGCCTGGTTCTCCGCCTGTCTTCAAGGCGCGTTACGTGGCTCGAGGCTTCAGTCAGCGGCAGGGAGTTGACTACTTTCAGACCTTCTCTCCCACCCCGAAGATGACCAATCTTCGGGTGCTGCTGCACATAGCCGCTCAGCGCGACTACCAGCTTCACTCTCTTGACTTCAGCACAGCTTTCCTGCAGGGCAGCCTTCACGAGGAGATCTGGCTGCGCCGCCCACCTGGCTTCACTGGGTCGTTTCCTCCCGGTACCCAGTGGAACCTCCGGCGGCCAGTCTACGGTCTCCGCCAGGCGCCCCGTGAGTGGCACGGCACACTGAGGACTACACTTGCGGCTCTTGGCTTTGCTCCTTCTACAGCCGACCCGTCGTTGTTTCCGCGCACCAACACCTCTTTGCCGCCGTTCTACATCCTCGTGTACGTCGACGACTTAGTCTTTGCCACTAGTAACACTGCTGGACTCGCCCACGTGAAGTCCGAGCTGCAGAAGAGACACACGTGTACAGACCTGGGTGAACTGCGCAGCTACCTTGGCTTGCAGATTACCCGGGACAGAGCACATCGCACCATTACCCTGACTCAGTCACACATGGTGCAGCAGATCCTTCAGCGCTTCGACATCACGTACTCCTGGCCTCTGGCCACTCCTCTGTCTTGTCGCCACTCGCTCTCAGCTCTGCCTTCGGATGAGTCCGTAGAGCCGAGTGGCCCGTACCCAGAGCTTGCTAGCTGCCTCATGTACATGATGACCTGCACACGACCTGACAATGCATTCCCTCTTAGCATCTTAGGAGACACCGACCAGATGTGGGTACAAGTAGGAAAACTTGAAAGTGTTGTACCCCATATTGTCTACCCCACTATAGCCTACACAGACTATAGCATATAAGTTTGACGCACCCCAATAGGCAAAGTGGGGGAGAACAAGAGGTCACAAGACCAATCAAGCAAAGCAAAGGAAGCTCAGGGTGGATCACAACGTCACCACACATTCCGAGCACAAGTTCAAGGCCACAAGGCCAGTTCACATGCAAGATCATATAAAAAGGTAAACAAGCAAGTGCAGGTATAGATAGATCACTGTACAAGTAAGGTCAAGAAGTGAGCAAGTGAGGCCAAGTAGGTACAAGACCTAGCATCGTACAGCAGCGCTGATGATCACAAGGCGGAAGTGCCTTGGTAAAGATATCAGCAGTGTTGGCCTCAGAGGCCACGTAAGCAAGGCCCACCTGACCACGCTGCTGCAGCTCACGAGCAAGGAAGTAGCGAAGAGCAATGTGCTTCGTTCTGTGTTCGAGTCTGTGCTCCCGACACAAGGCCAGCATGGCCTTGTTGTCTACGTACAGAATTGGAGGAGAACGAGGCGGCTCTCCTAGGTCAGTCAGCAGGTAGGTTAGCCAGCGTAGCTCCTGTGCAGCCATGGCCCCCGCGTAGATCTCAGCCTCACAGCTGGAGCCGAGAACAGAAGACGAGCGGGTAGACCGCCACGAAACAGAGCCGGAACCAAGGCTGAAGGTGTAACCCTGTGAGGACCGCTGCGTAGCCTGGTCGTCAGCCCAAGAAGCGTCTGCGTGACCGGTGAGGACCACTGAACGCCGCCCTCCAAGCACTAGCCCCATGCCTGACGTACTGCACAAGTAGCGCAACACCCTCTTCGCTGCAGCCATGTGCTCTGGTCGGTGTCTCCCAGGAGCAACATAGCGTGCCAAGATGCTAAGAGGGTATGCCAGGTCAAGTCGAGTGCAGGTCATCAGGTACATGAGGCAGCCAACAAGCTCTGGGTACGGGCCACTCGGCTCTACGGACTCATCCAAAGGCAGAGCTGAGAGCGAATGGCGAGTAGACAGAGGAGTGGCCTGAGGCGAGGAGTACGTGAAGTCGAAGCACTGAAGGACCTGCTGCACCATGTGTGACTGAGTCAGGGTAATGGTGCGATGTGCGCCACTAAGAGGAGTAGGGACCCTCGATCGCCTCAGCGTACGATCGAGGAGTCGGGATGTCTTGTGCATCCGGGTCTCCCTCAGGGGCAATCAGCATGGACACGAGATGAGGCAAAGCAGTAGAAAAACACTAGAACTCCTCCTACCTGTCCTCAAGGACGTCCGTGCTAAGAGCACACTCACCCCCGATGGACGTAGGAGAGACAGACTCAGACTCAGCAACAAGACTAGCGGCGTAGTCTAGACGACAGTGAGCAGCAATGTCGACCAACTCAGCAACTAAGGCAGATGCAGCAGTGGACTCAAGGAAGGGTCAGTGACAACAGTAGCCAGGAGTCGCGTGACAGTAGGACTGGCAGCACGAAGAGAGTCAGACTCCGGGTCAGCAAGAGCAGGAAGAGAGGACTCTGGAGGAGACGGCAAAGGGACACGCTGCGGAGCAATGGAAGGACGTAGTGCCATCTGGTGCGTGCCAGGGACAGGAGGAGGACGCTGACGCGGATCACGACGACTAGCGCGAGCAGCACGAACACGCGACGCAGGACGAGACACAGGCGCACGACGCTCAACAAGACCTCCAGTAGGACCAGTGTAGGGAGAAGGAGCAGGCAGGGGGGAGGCGGGCTGTAACTGTGACTGCGACTAGACAGGCTGTGGACACTCTAAGGGAGGAGCAGGACCAGTAGAAGGCGGGAGACCAAGAACTTGCTCAAGGAGCGTAACAAAGTACGGCCGTGGCCGCTCAGCGCCTCCTGAAACAGCAGGGACAGCACCAGTACCCCCAGCGACAGCACCAGTACCCCCAGCGACAGCACCAGCACTAGCAGTACCTCTAGCTCCAGCAGCGCCAACTCCAGCACCCTCAGAAGTACCAGCGCCAGCAGTACCTCCAGCGCCAACACCCCCAGCAGCTCTATGTCAAACATTGTATATGTTGTGCTTGTTTAGGCTATAGTGGGTTAGCCTATAGGGGGTACACAATTCTAGGGTTAGGTACTTGTAATGATTTCACTGTTAGTTCAATCATTCCTGTTCGTTCATTTCAACATGGTATAGAGCAGGTCCTTCGCTAGGACCGTTTTTTAGAGCCCACCACTACCTACCTACCTACTTACCTAACTGCGCCCTAGGGCGCCTCGTTTTTTCACGGCCCCCTAAGGCCCCGCGACCCGCGACCCGCCCCTTAGCGACTCGCGCGCCGCCCCTTAAGGCCCCGTCGGCCCACGTGCTCGCCCCTTACGGCCCTGCGCTCGCCTCTTAGCGACCCTGTCGGCCCCGCGATCGCCCCTAACGGCCCCGTCGGCCCCGCGCTCACCTCCCTAGAGGCCCCCGTCGGCCCCGCGCTCGCCCTTAGCGGCCCCTTACGGCCCCGCGCTCGCCCCTAGAGGCCCCGAACGGCCCCGCGCTCGCCCTTAGCGGCCCCTTACGGCCCCGCGCTCGCCCCTAGAGGCCCCAAACGGCCCCGCGCTCGCCCTTAGCGGCCCCTTACGGCCCCGCGCTCGCCCCTAGAGGCCCCGATCGGCCCCGCGCTCGCCCTTAGCGGCCCCTTACGGCCCCGCGCTCGCCCCTAGAGGCCTCGAACGGGCCCCCAGAACGAGCCGCCCGACCCGAGCAGCCCGAACCGAGCCGCCCAGCCCGAACCGAGCCGCCCGAATCGAGCCGCCCGAACCGAGCCGCCCAGCCCAAACCGAGCCGCGCCGCCCAAACCTAGCCGCGCCGCCCTACCTGAACCGAGCCGCGCCGCCCGTACTGGACCGAGCCGCCCTACCTGAGTCGCACTGCCTACTGTTTTTTGGGGTGCCCCTACTGCTATTACTCCTACTACTGCTATGGCTAGCCCTCCTGTGCTGGCTTTCGATGCTGAGGGCCGCCCAGTGAAGTTCGAAACCTGGCTAGATGACCTACACCTCTTCCTACAGCACTACCAAGGAGGACATCTCACTGTACGATCACGCCCTAGGCCATGCTCCTGCTCCTGCTGCTACTGCTGACAGCACTGCCCGCTCACAGTGGAAGACTCGTGACGCCCACGCTCGCTTCGCTATTCGCAAGTCCCTGCCGATAGATGAGCGCGAGCACTTTGGGCAGCACAAGACTGCACAGGCACTGTACACTGCTGTCGTTGCCCGCTACTCCTCACCGGCCTCTGCCGCACTAGGCCGTCTCTCTCTTCCCTACCTGTTCCCCGACTTAGCCGCTTTCCACACACTCGCTGACCTCATTACGCACCTCCGCACTAGTGAGGCTCGCTTCCGCGCCGCCATGCCTGATGAGTTCCTTGCCAAGAACCCACCCCCACTCTGGCTCACTCTCTACCACCTAGTCACCCGCCTCCCTGACACTCTGCGCTCAGTCAGGGACCACTTTCTAGCTCGCTGCCCCACTCAGCTCACCATTGCCCTCCTCGAGAAGGAACTCCTTGCAGCTGAGGCTAGCATAGTCGCTGTAGGTGCCTCTCGTGGCGACCCCCGTACCCCGTTCTTTGAGGGGTGTTCTCCTTCCCCCCTTCTTCCCTCTGTCGCCTCTGCTGCTGCTGTCGACCTCCTTGGTGCTGAGAAGGTCGGGACACCGTCTGCTTCGAGTGGGCGCCGCAGCGGCAAGGGCAAAGGGGGCAAGGGCGGTGGCGGTGACAGCGGGGGAGGCGGTGGTGGGGGCGGTGGCGGCGGTGGGGGTGGTGGCGCGACTGGAGGGGCTAGTGGCAGCGGTGGGGGTGGTGGCGGCAGCTACGAGGGAGGTGGCAGGGGCGGAGGCGGTGGTGGGGGTGGCGGTGGACGCGGCGGCGGCAGGGGTTGGGGTGGTCGAGGAGGTGGCGGCGGCGGTGGTGGTCGTGGAGGCGCTGGCGGTGGCCAGGGCCAGCAGCACACTCCGTCGCCCCAGGAGGTCCGTGAGTGGTACTCTCAGCACGGGGGGGGGGGGGGGGGTGGCTTTAGCTGCACGTACGTCATTCGCACTGGTGACCGCACTGGCCAGCCGTGTGGGGGACCGCACGCCACACAGCGTTGCTTCGCTCGTCAGAACGACGCTTGGCGTGTTCAGTTCCCTCAGGCCACTGAGCTGCCCCGCTGGGTTGATCTCCTGAAGAAGGGGATTGATATTTATGCTCTAGACTTTGATGCTATTCTCACTGCCATGTATGTGATGTCTACTAGTGGAGAGGGTGCTGAGTACCTGAGTGTCCCGCCCGACCCGGGCATTAGGACTAGTGCGTCTGCCGCTCCAGGTACTCGCGTGTCTGCTACCCCAGGTGCTGGTGAGGCAGCTGCTCTAGGTGCTTGTGCGTCTGCCCCCCCTGGTACTGAGTCGACGGCAGCACTGCACACCTTCACACTGGACTCAGGTGCTTCTCGCTGCTTCTTTCGTGACCGCATTGCCCTTGAGCCGCTTGCTCGGCCAGTTGCTGTCTCCCTCGCTGACCCCTCTGGGGGTCCGGTCATTGCAACCTCCTCCACTGTCCTTCCCTGTCCTGCGGTCCCGTCGGGCACACTGTCAGGTCTCCACCTCCCCTCGTTCTCTACGAACTTGGTGGCAGGTAGTGCACTCCAGGACGGGGGTGTTCGCCAGTTCACCCCTGCCTACGAGCGCGTGACACACTGCACGTGTGCTCGTACGGGCCGCCACTTGGCTACCTTCACTCGGCAGCCGGGGTCGGATCTGTACACACTGACCACTGAGTCCCCTCAGGTCGCTGCGTCTGCGTCTGCGTCTGCGTCCGCGTCAGGTCAACTGTCTTCCCCCTGCTCGTGTCGCTCTCTGGCGCACGAGACTGTCCTCTGGCACCACCGACTTGGCCACCCGTCTGTGCAGCGCCTTCGTGCCATGCACTCCCGGTACCTTGTCTCCGGTCTTCCCAGAGTCCTCCCTCCCCTCCCACCCTCGCCTGCTCCTCCGTGTTATCCCTGCGTCGAGGGGCGGCAGCGCGCCGCTCCTCACTCCTCCTCGTTTCCCCCGACGACTGCTCCCTTGCAGACGCTCCACATGGACGTGTGGGGCCCAGCCCGCGTCCGTGGTCAGGGTCAGGAGAGGTACTTCCTGATAGTTGTTGACGACTACTCGCGCTACACCACGGTCTTCCCCTTGCGCACCAAGGGTGAGGTCCCTGATGTCTTGATCCCTTGGATCCGCAGAGCCCATCTCCAGCTCAGCGAGCGTTTCCACTCGGACTTTCCTGTCCTGCGCTTGCACTCTGACAGAGGTGGTGAGTTCTCCTCCGACCTCTTGGCAGCCTACTGTGCTGAGCACGGCATTGAGCAGTCGTTCACGCTTCCGGCCTCTCCACACCAGAATGGGATTGCAGAGCGCCGCATTGGCCTGGTCATGGAGGTCGCCCTTACCTCCTTGATCCATGCGGCTGCCCCCCACTTTCTGTGGCCGTTTGCGGTCCGGTACGCTGCGCATCAGCTCAACCTCTGGCCCCGTGTCCCCTTGCCGGAGACCTCGCCCACACTGCTGTGGACGGGGGAGGTTGGCGATGCGTCGCGTTTCCGGGTCTGGGGATCTCGAGCTTTTGTCCGCGATACGTCTGCGGACAAGCTCTCCTCCCGTGCTGCTCCGTGCGTCTTCCTCGGCTTTGTCACGGACGCGCCTGGTTGGCAGTTTTACCACTCCACCTCGCACCGAGTCTTGCCCTCTCAGGACGTCACTTTTGACGAGTCCGTCCCCTACTACCGCCTCTTCCTCTACCGCACTGCCCCGCTCCCCCCCCCCGCCTCTCTTCCTCGCGCCAGGTGCTGCTGTCGTAGAGCCACTCCCCCCTCAGGGTGCCACTCCCTTAGGTGTGTCTCAGGTAGACCCGGTTGAGCCTGTTGAGGTAGCTGTCGACTCTCGTCTTGCTGTGGGTGTGGAGCCTGGGGGTGCTGAGCCTGGGGGTGCGGAGCCTGGGGGTGCTGAGCCTTGGGGTGCGGAGCCTGGGGGTGCGGAGCCTGGGGGTGCGGAGCCTGGGGGTGCGGAGCCTGGGGGTGCTGAGCCTTGGGGTGCAGAGCCTGGGGGTGCTGAGCCTGGGAGTACTGAGCCTGGGGGTGCTGAGACGCAGAGTCCGGAGTCTGGGGGTTCTGAGTCTGGAGGTCCTGAGCCTGAGGGTCCTACACCTAGCGGAGCCCTCTCCTCGGAGCAGCTGCGTGAGTGGTACTTCCAGTACTGCAGCCTCAGGAGAGGTACCTCTGGAGCCAGGCGTACTACTGGGACTGGTGCTAGTGCTTCTCCTCCTAGCCGGGAGCTCCCCTCCCGTGAGCGGATCCGTGAATGGTACGAGCGGCGTTGCACTCTTCGGAGTGGCGCGCCTGGTGTCACGGACCCCGCTGCTGCTGGTGGTGCTACTGGTGCTGGAGACTCTACTGGTTCTGCTGGTGCTGCGGCCCCAGAGGTTGGAGCTGTTTCTGGTGCTGCGGACCCGGGCGTTGGAGCTACGGCTGGTGCTGCGGACCCGGGCGCTGGTGCTGCTGCTGGTGCTGAGGACCTGGGCGTTGGAGCTGCTGCTGGTACTGAGGACCCGGGCGTTGGAGCTGCTGCTGGTGCTGAGGACCCTGGAGCTGGTGCTGCTGCTGGTGCTGTGGAGTCGGGCGTTGGAGCTGCTGCTGGTGCGGAGGACCCTGGCGCTGGTGTCTCTGCTGGTTCTGGAGTCGCTGCACGGCAGCGGCCGTACTTCGTTCCGCTCCTTCAGCAGGTTCTTGGTCTCCCGCCTTCTCTTGGTCCTCCTCCTCCCTTAGAGTGTCCACAGCCTGTCTAGTCACGGTTACAGTTACATCCCGCCTCCCCACTGCCTGCTCCTTCTCCCTACACTTGTCCTACTAGAGGTCTTGCTGAGCGTCGTGAGCCTGCGTCTCGCCCTACGTCGCCTGTCCGTACTGCTCGCACTAGTGGTTGCGGTTCGTGTCAGCGTCCTCGTCCTCTCCCTGGCATGCACCGGATGTCTCTGCGTCCGTCCTTTGCTCCTCTGCGTGCCCCTTTGCCTTCTCCTCCTGAGTCCTCTCTTCCTGCTCTTCCCGAACCGGAGTCGGACTCTCTTCGTGCTGCCAGTCCTACTGTCACGCGTCTCCTTGCTACTGTCGTCACTGACCCTTCTTTTGAGTCCACTGCTGCGTCTGCCCTAGTTGCTGAGCTCGTCGACTTTGCTGCTCGCTGTCCTCTAGACTACGCTGCTAGTCTTGTCGCTGAGTCTGAGTCTGTCTGTCCTCCGTCCGTCAGGGGTGAGTGTGCCCTTGGCACGGACGTCCTTGAGGACAGGCAGGAGGAGTTCTAGTGCTTGGCCGCTGCTTCACCTCATCTTGTGTCCGTACTGCTTACCCCTGAGGGAGATCCGGATGCACTTGACATCCCGACTCCGCGCTCTTACGCGGAGGCGATAGAGGGTCCCTACTCTTCTCAGTGGCAGGCAGCTATGGATGCAGAGATGGCTTCCTGGAAGTCAACAGGCACCTACGTTGTCGCTGTCCCCCCTTCTGGGGCGAACATCGTCAGTGGCATGTGGATTTTCAGGGTGAAGCGGCCGCCGGGTTCTCCGCCTGTCTTCAAGGCGCGTTACGTGGCTCGTGGCTTCAGTAGGCAGCAGGGAGTTGACTACTTTCAGACCTTCTCTCCCACCCCGAAGATGACCACTCTTTGGGTACTGCTGCACATAGCTGCTCACCGCGACTACAAGCTGCACTCTCTTGACTTCAGCACTGCTTTCTTGCAGGGCAGCCTGCACGAGGAGATCTGGCTGCGTCGCCCACCTGGCTTCACTGTGTCTTTTCCTCCTGGCACCCAGTGGAGCCTCCGGCGGCCAGTCTACAGTCTCGGCCAGGCGCCCCGTGAGTGGCACGACACACTGAGGACTACACAGTGCCGACCCGTCGCAGTTTCTACGCACCGACACTTCTGTGCCGCCGTTCTACATCCTCGTGTACGTCGACGACTTGGTCTTTGCCACTGCTGACACTGCTGGACTCGCCCCCGTGAAGTCCGAGCTGCAGAAGAGACACACGTGCACAGACCTGGGTGAACTGCGCAGCTACCTTGGCTTGCAGATCACCCCGGACAGAGCACAGCACACCATTACCCTGACTCAGTCACACATGGTGCAGCATGTCCTTCAGCGCTTCGACTTCACGTACTCTTCGCCTCAGGCCACTCCTCTGTCTACTTGCCACTCGCTCTCAGCTCTGCCTTCGGATGAGTCCGTAGAGCCGAGTGGCCCGTACCCAGAGCTTGTTGGCTGCCTCATGTACCTGATGACCTGCACACGACCTGACCTTGCATACCCTCTTAGCATTCTCGCACGCTATGTTGCTCCTGGGAGACACCGACCAGAGCACATGGCTGCAGCGAAGAGGGTGTTGCGCTACTTGTGCAGTACGTCGGGCATGGGGCTAGTGCTTGGAGGGCGGAGTCCAGTAGTCCTCACTGGTCACGCAAACGCTTCTTGGGCTGACGACCTGGCTATGCAGCGGTCGTCACAGGGTTACACCTTGAGCCTTGGCTCCGGCTCTGTTTCGTGGCGGGCTACTCGCTCGTTTTCTGTTCTCGGCTCCAGTTGTGAGGTTGAGATCTACGCAGGGGCCATGGCTGCACAGGAGCTTCGCTTGCTCACCTACCTGCTGACCGACCTTGGAGAGCCGCCTCGTTCTCCTCCAGTGCTGTACGTAGACAACAAGGCCATGCTGGCCTTGTGTCGAGAGCAGAGAGTGGAGCACAGAACAAAGCACATTGCTCTCCGCTACTTCCTTGCTCGTGAGCTACAACAGCGTGGTCAGTTGCGGCTTGCGTACGTGGCCTCTGAGGCCAACACTGCTGATGTCTTCACCAAGGCACTTGCGCCTTGTGATCATCAGCGCTTCTGCACCCAGCTGGGTCTTGTACCTGTCTTGCCTCACTTGCTCACCTCTTGACCTTGCTTGTACTGTTACATATATATATACCTGCTCTTACTTGTCTAGCCTTATATATATATATGTACTCCTGCATGTGAACTGGCCTTGTGGCCTTGAACTTGTGCTCGGAATGTGTGGTGACTTTGTGATCCACCGTGAGCTTGCTTTGCTTTGCTTTACTTGACTGGTCTTGTGACCCCTAGTTCTCCCCCACTTCGCCTATGGGGGTGTGTCAAACATTATATATGTTGTGCTTGTTTAGGCTATAGTGGGTTAGCCTATAGGGGGTACACAATTCTAGGGTTAGGTACTTGTACTCATTTCTCTGTTAGTTCAATCATTCCTGTTCGTTCATTTCAACACTCCAGTACCTCCAGCAGCACCAGCATCACCTCCAGCAGGACCAACTCCAGCAGCCACAGCAGCAACCCCCAGTCCCAGCAGCTCTAGTACCGCCAGTACGAGCACCTCCAGGACCAGAGGCTTCAGTACCTCTAGCGCCGACCCCAGGGTCAGCAGCAACAGTAGCACCTCTAGCTCCAGCAGCACAGCTCCAGCGCCAGGCAAACCACTCACGCAGCTCCTCTGGAGAGGGTAGCTCCCGCCGAGACGAAGCACCCAAAGGACCCCCAGACCCAGCACCGCCAAAGGCCACACGAGCAGACCGAGCACCCCCAGGCTAAGCATCCCCAGGCTCCGCACCCCCAGGCTCCGCACCCCCAGGCTCAGCACCCCCAGGCTCAGCACCCCCAGACCCCGTACCCGCAGGCTCAGCACCCCTAGCAGCACCTGAGTCAACAGCTACCTCGACAGGCTCGACTGCGTCTACCTGGGACACACCTGACAGGGCAGGACCCTGAGGGGGGAGAGGGTCTACCGGGGGGGGACCTGGCGCAAGGAAGAGCGGCGGCTGGGGGAGGGCCGCAGTGCGGTAGAGGAAGAGACGATAGTAAGGAACCTACTCGTCAAAGGTGACGTCCTTGGAGGACAGAACATGTCGCAAGGTGGGGTGGTAAAATTGCCACCCAGGCGCGTCAGGGGGGAAGCCAAAGAAGACGCAGGGAACAGTACGGGGGGACAGCTTGTCCGCAGACAAGTCTCGGACAAACGCCCGAGATCCCCAGACACGAAACGTAGATGCATCGCCAACCTTCCCCGTCCACCGCAAGGTGAGGGAGGTCTCTGGCAAGGAGACCCGGGTCTGATGCGCTGCGTACCAAACCGCAAACGACCACAGAAAATGGGGAGCAGCCGCATGGATCATGGACGTACGAGCGACATCCATGACCATGCCAATGCGGCGCTCAGCAATCCCATTTTGCTGTGGAGAGGCCAGAAGCGTGAACGTCTAGCGGATGCCCTGTGCATAACAAAAGGCTTCCAGAAGGCCAGAGGAAAACTCCCCTCCTCTGTCAGAGTGCAGACGCAGAACAGGAAAGTCCGAGCCAAAACTCTCTCTGAGCTGGAGACGAGCTGCACGGATCCATTTGATCAACACCTCAGTGACGTCACCCTTGCTGCGCAAGGGGAACACCGTGGTGTAACGCGAGTAGTCGTCAACCACCAACAGGAAGTAACGCTCGTGACCCTGGCCACGGACGCGGGCGGGGCCCCACACGTCCATGTGAAGAGACTGCAGCGGAGCCTCTGTCGGAGGAAACTCGGAGGAGTGAGGGGCGGCGCGCTGCCGCCCCTCGACACAGGGAACGCAAGTAGGGGCAGGGAGGGGAGGGAGGGACCGGGGGATGTGAAACTAACTGAACAGGAATGAATTGACTAAGTCAGAGTTGGGTACAAATACAACCCTAGCAAACTGTACCCCATATGTGCTACCCCACTATAGCCTACAAACATGCATCAGCTATAATAATCTGACACACCCCCATAGGCAAAGTGGGGGAGAACAAGGGGTCACAAGACCAGTCAAGTAAAGCAAAGCAAGCTCAGGGTGGATCACAAAGTCACCACACAGTCCGAGCACAAGAGCAAGGCCAGAGGCCAGTTCACATGCAAGAGTACAGACATATATATAAAACTAGACAAGCAAGAGCAGGTATATATATGTCAAAGTACAAGTAAAGTCAAGAAGAGAGCAAGTGAGGCAAGACAGGTACAAGACCCAGCTGGGTACAAAAGCGCTGATGGTCGCAAGGCGCAAGTGCCTTGGTGAACACATCAGCAGTGTTGGCCTCAGAGGCCACGTAAGCAAGTTGCAACTGACCACGCTGCTGCAGCTCACGAGCAAGGAAGTAGCGGAGAGCAATGTGCTTCGTTCTGTGCTCCAAGCGCTGCTCTCGACACAAGGCCAACATGGCCTTGTTGTCTACGTACAGCACTGGAGGAGAACGAGGCAGCTCTCCAAGGTCAGTCAGCAGGTAGGTGAGCCAGCGAAGCTCCTGTGCAGCCATGGCCCCGGCGTAGATCTCAGCCTCACAGCTGGAGCCGAGAACCGAAGACGAGCGAGTAGACCGCCACGAGACAGAGCCGGAACCAAGGCTGAAGGTGTAACCCTGTGACGACCGCTGCGTAGCCTGGTCGTCAGCCCAAGAAGCGTCTGCGTGCCCAGTAAGGACCACTGGACTCCGCCCTCCAAGCACTAGCCCCATGCCCGACGTACTGCACAGGTAGCGCAATACCCTCTTCGCTGCAGCCATGTGCTCTGGTCGGTGTCTCCCAGGAGCAACATAGCGTGCAAGGATGCTCAGAGGGTATGCAAGGTCAGGTCGTGTGCAGGTCATCAGGTACATGAGGCAGCCAACAAGCTCTGCATACGGACCACTCGACTCTACGGACTCATCCGAAGGCAGAGCTGAGAGTGAGTGGCGAGTAGGCAGAGGAGTGGCCTGAGGCGAGGAGTACGTGAAGCCGAAGCGCTGAAGGACCTGCTGCACCATGTGTGACTGAGTCAGGGTAATGGTGCGGCGTGCTCTGTCCCGAGTGATCTGCAAGCCAAGGTAGCTGCGCAGTTCACCCAGGTCTGTGCACGTGTGTCTCTTCAGCAGCTCGGACTTCACGTAGGCGAGTCCAGCAGTGTCCGCTGTGGCAAAGACCAAGTCGTCGACGTACACGAGGATGTAGAACGGCGGCAGGGAAGTGTCGGTGCGAAGAAACAGCGACGGGTCAGCAGTAGAAGGAGCAAACCCAAGAGCCGCAAGCGTAGTCCTCAGTGTGTCGTGCCACTCACGCGGTGCCTGGCGGAGACCGTAGACTGGCCGTCGGAGGCTCCACTGGGTGCCAGGAGGGAAAGTCCCAGTGAAGCCAGGCGGACGGCGCAGCCAGATCTCCTCGTGCAGGCTACCCTGCAGGAACGCAGTGCTGAAGTCGAGAGAGTGAAGCTCGTAGTCGCGCTGAGCGGCAATGTGCAGCAGCACCCGAAGAGTGGTCATCTTCGGGGTGGGAGAGAAGGTCTGAAAGTAGTCAACTCCCTGCCGCTGACTGAAGCCACGAGCCACGTAACGCGCCTTGAAGACAGGCGGCGAGCCCGGCGGCCGCTTCACCCTGAAGATCCACATGCCACTGACGATGTTCGCCCCAGGAGGGGGAACCGCGTCAACGTAGGTGCCTGTGGACTTCCAGGAAGCCATCTCTGCATCCATAGCTGCCTGCCACTGAGAGGAGTAGGGACCCTCTACGGCCTCCGCGTAAGAACGCGGAGTCGGGATGTCTAGTGCATCCGGGTCTCCCTCAGGGGCTAGCAGTACAGACGCGAGACGAGGTGAAGCAGCGGCTAGACACTGGAACTCCTCCTGCCTGTCCTCTAGGACGTCCGTGCCAAGGGCACACTCACCCCCGACGGACGGAGGACAGGCGGACTCAGACTCAGCGACAAGACGAGCAGCGTAGTCTAGACGACAGCGCGCAGCAAAGTCGACAAGCTCAGTGACAAGGGCAGACGCAGCAGACGACTCGAAGGAAGGGTCAGTGACAGCAGTAGCAAGGAGACGCGTGACAGTAGGACTGGCAGCACGAAGAGAGTCCGACTCCGGGTCGGCAAGAGCAGGAAGAGAGGAAGCAGGAGGAGAAGGCAAAGGGGCACGCAGAGGAGCAGTGGACGGACGCAGTGACATCCGGTGCGTGCCAGGGACAGGAGGAGGACGCTGACGCGACCCGCGACCACTAGCGCGCTCAGTACGAACAGGCGACGCAGGACGAGACGCAGGCTCACGACGCTCAGTAAGGCCTCCAGTCGGACCAGCGTAGGGAGAAGGAGCAGGCAAAGGGGAGGCAGGCTCTAGCTGTGGCTGTGACCAGACAGGCTGCGGACCCTCTAAGGGAGGAGGAGGAGGAGCAAGACCAAGAACCTGCTCCAGGAGCGGAACGAAGTACGGTCGAGACCGCGCGGCGACGCCAGAAACAGCAGGAACAGAACCAGCAGCTCCGGCCGGAGTACCCAGTCCAGCAGCACCTCCAGCAAAACCACCAGAAGCTCCAGAACCTCCAGCAGCAGCACCAGGAGCACCGTCAGTCGGACCACCAACCGCAGGCTCAGCGCCAACGTCCTCAGCAGGACCAGCTCCAGGAGAACCCTCAGACCCAGCAGCTCCAGCACCCACAGGACGAGCACCGCCAGGTCGCGTGGCAGCAGCGCCCTCCGCAGCCGAAGAACCACCAGCACCAGCGGCACGCCTCCAGCGCCGGGCAAACCACTCACGCAGCTCCTGTGGAGAGAGCGGCTCCCGGCGAGACGAAGCACCCCCAGGCACAGCACCTCCAGGCTCGGCACCTCCAGGCTCAGCACCCCCAGGCTCAGCACCCCCAGGCTCAGTACCCCCAGACACAGCACCCCCAGGTACAGCACCCCAAGGCTCAGCACCCCCAGGCTCAGCACCCCCAGGCCCAGCACCCCCAGACTCCGCACCCCCAGGCTCAGCACCCCCAGGCTCAGCACCCCTAGACTCCGCACCCCCAGGCTCAGCTCCCGCAGCAGCACCAGAGTCACCAGTGACCTCGACAGGCTCGACCGCGTCTACCTGAGACACACCTGAAGGGGCAGGACCCTGAGGGGGAAGGGGGACTACTGGGGGGGGACCTGGTACCAAGAAGAGCGGGGGTGGGGGGAGGGACGGAGTGCGGTAGGGGAAGAGGCGGTAGTAGGGTACCGACTCGTCGAACGTGACGTCCTGGGAGGACAGAACACGTCGAGAGGTGGGGTGGTAAAACTGCCACCCAGGGGCGTCGGGGGGGAACCCCAGGAAGACGCAGGGAGAAGCACGAGGGGACAGCTTGTCCGCAGACAGGTCGCGAACAAACGCCCGAGATCCCCAGACCCGGAACGCCGACGCATCGCCAACCTTCCCCGTCCACAGCAGCGCTGGGGAGGTCTCCGGTCGAGAGACCCTGGGGTGGAGGTTGATCTGGTGCGCAGCGTACCTGACCGCAAACGGCCACAGAAAATGGGGAGCAGCCGCATGCATCATGGACGTACGAGCGACGTCCATGACCATGCCAATGCGGCGCTCAGCGATCCCATTCTGCTGTGGTGAGTCCGGAAGCGTGAAGGTCTGACGGATGCCTCGCACACGACAGTAGGCACTCAGGAGGGCAGAGGAGAACTCTCCGCCTCTGTCCGAGTGCAGACGCAAGACAGGGACGTCAGAGCCAAAGCTTCTCCGAAGCTGAAGACGAGCTGCGCGGATCCAGTCGATCAACACCTGAGTGACCTCACCCTTGCTGTGCAAGGGGAAGACTGTGGTGTAACGCGAGTAGTCGTCAACCACCAGCAGGAAGTAGCGCTCCTGACCCTGTCCACGGACGCGGGCTGGGCCCCACACGTCCATGTGAAGCGTCTGCAACGGGGCCTCTGTCGGAGGAAACTGGGAGGAGTGAGGGGCAGCACGCTGGCGCCCCTCGACACAGGGGACACAGGCAGGGCCAGGGCCCGGAGGAAGGGGAGGGAGGGACCGGGGAAGACCAGACACAAGGACCCGCGAGGCCATGCCTCTGAGCCGAAGCAGAGAGGGGTGGCCAAGGCGGTGGTGCCAGAGGAGGGTCTCGTGAGACAGACGACGACACGAACAAGGGGCAGACTCAGGACCAGACCTGGACGCTGCAGCAAACACCTGACCAGACGAAGGGGCCCTACCAGACGCAGTACCTGGAGGAGAAGCAGTGGTCAGTGTGTACAGGCTCGACCCCGGCCGACGTGTAAACGTAGCCAGGTGGCGACCTGTATCCGCCTCCGTACAGTGGGTCACCCGCTGACGAGCAGGGGTGAACTGGTGGACACCTGCATCCTGGAGGTCAGCACCACTCACCAAGTTCGTCGAGAACGAGGGGAGGTAGAGACCAGTCAGGGTGCCAGAGGGGGCCGCCGGACACGGGAGGACAGTGGAGAAGCGAGACAGGACAGGCCCCCCAGAGGGGTCCGCCAGGGACACCGCAACAGGCCGACTCAGCGGCGTGAGAGTGGTGCGGTCCCTAAAGAAGGAGCGAGACGCTCCAGAGTCAAGGGTGAAGGTGTGAGAGGCCGAAGCCGACACAGTACCTGAGAGGGCGGACTCACCAGTACCTGAAAGCACAGACGCACTGGCACCTAGAGCAGCAGCCTCACTAGTACCTGACGCGGCAGTATCAATGCCCGGGTCGAGCGGGAAACACCGGTAACAGTCATCCTCATCACTACCAGTCACAGCATACATAGCAGAGAGAATAGCATCAAAATCAAGATCATAAATAGCTACACCAGCCCTAGACAGCTCTCCCCAGCGGGGGATCTCAGCGGCCTCCGGAAACTGCTGACGCCAGGCGTCGGTCAGGCGGCCAAAGCAGCGACGGGCTGTGTGGGCGCCTCCACACCTCTCCCCTGCACGGTCACCAGTGCGAAGAACGTAGGGGCAGGGACCAAGCACACCACCGCGCTGACGCTGCAAGTACCACTCACTGAGCTGCTGAGGGCCGGGGACGGTGCGAGAGCGCTGCTGCTGCTGCGGCTGCTGCTGCGGCTGCTGCTGCTGCTGCTGCTGCTGGCGCTGACCACCCCCAGAGCTGCTCCGCTGGGACGAGCCACTCCGACCCCCTCCTCCACCGCCACCCCCGCCTCCACCGCCACCCCCGTCGCCACCGCCACCTCCCCCACCAGGACCGTCGCTCCCACCGCTCCCACCGCCTCCTCCGCTACCACCTCCGCCGCCACCTCCGCCTCCACCGCCGCCACTACTACCTCCACTCCCGCCACCACCCCCCCCGCCACCCCCACTCCCCCCTCCACCCCCACCGCCTCCTCCACCGCCCCCTCTGGCTCCACCCGCTCCCTTGCCCCCCTTGCCCTTGCCAGTGCGGCGTCTGCCACTAGGGGCAGACGCCGCGCCGACCGACTCAAAACCAACGAGGTCGGCCGCAGCGGCAGAGGCGACAGAGGGCAGCAGGGGGGAGGGACCACACCCCTCAAAGATGGGGGTGCGAGGGTCACCCCGAGAGGCCCCTACAGCGACAATACTCTTCTCAGCCGCTAGCAGGGACTCCTCAAGGAGGTCGACAGTGAGAGTGGTGGGACAGACAGAGAGAAACTGGTCCCTAACGACACGAAGGGACTCAGGGAGACGGGTGACGAGAAAGTAGAGAGTGATGTACATGGGAGGAGGGTTCGCAGCGCGGAACTCAGCAGGAAGGGCAGCGCGGTAGCGGGTGTCACTAGCGCGGAGGTGGGTAACGAGGTCAGCGATAGTGGGAAAGGAAGCGAGGTCAGGGAAGAGAAACGGTAGCATGAGGCGGCTAAGGGTAGCGGAGGAAGGGGAGGAGTAGCGCGCAACTACAGCGTCGTACAAGGCCTGAGCGGTCTTGCACTGACTAAAGTGGGCACGCTCAGAAGAAGGGAGGTGGCGACGCACAGCAAGACGTGCAGCAGCATCGCGGGTCGCCCACTTGGAGCGAACGGCAGAGTCAGCATCAGCAGGCGGGGCAGGGACAGCGCCAGAGACAAAGTCAAAGAGAGAGACCTCATCTACCGCATCACACAGTAAGTACAGCTGCAGGTCCTCGATCCAGACGGCAAAGTCAATGGCCCTCCCCTCAGCGTCAAAAGTGAGAACATTGGGGGTGGCCATGGCAGCAGCTGAAAGTCTCACCGGGATCGGAGAGTCGGGTAGGTCAGCAGCAGGCGGCTCGGGCTGCTCGGGCGGCTCGGGCGGCTCGGGCGGCTCGGGCGACTCGGGCGGCTCGGGCGGCTCGGGCGGCTCGGGTACCGGGCGGCTCGGCTGCTGCTGGGCGGCTCGGCTGCTGCTGGGCGGTTCGGCTGCTGCTGGGCGGCTCGGCTGCTGCTGGGCGGCTCGGCTGCCGCTGGGCGGCTCGGCTGCGGCTGGGCGGCTCGGCTGCTGCTGGGCGGCTCGGCGGGGCCGTCAGGGTGCAGCTGCGGGGCCGGGACAGGGGACGGCGGGGCCGTCAGGGTGCAGCGGCGGGGCCGGGACAGGGGACGGCGGAGCCGTCAGGTGGCGGGCCAGCAGGCGAGGTGGCGAGCCGTCAGGTGAGGCGGCGGGGCCGTCAGGTCAGGTGGCGGGCCAGCAGGTGAGGCGGCGGGGCCGTCTGGTCAGGTGGCGGGCCAGCGGGTGAGGCGGCGGGCCGTCAGGTGAGGTGGCGGGCCAGCAGGTTAGGCGGCGGGCCGTCAGGTGAGGCGGCGGGGCCGTCAGGTCAGGTGGCGGGCCAGTAGGTGAGGCGGCGGGCCGTCAGGTGAGGCGGCGGGGCCGTCAGGTAAGGTGGCGGCGGGCCGTCAGGTGAGGCGGCGGGGCCGTCAGGTAAGGTGGCGGGCCAGCAGGTGAGACGGTGGGCCGTCAGGTGAGGCGGGGGGGGCCGTCTGGTGAGGTGGCGGGCCAGAAGTCGAGGCGGCGGGCCGTCAGGTGAGGCGGCGGCCGTCAGGTAAGGCGGCTGCGGGGCCGACAGAGGTGCAGCGGGGGGGGGCCTGCTGCAGCGACGAAGAGGCCGCGCGGCCGTCTTGAGGGCGGCGCGGCGCGGCAGAGCCGAGAGGGCGGCGCGGCGCGGCTGTAAGGGCCGCGCGAAGTGGGGCCTGAACCGCGCGCGCGAAAAAAAAAATGAGTCGCGCGCGCGACTCTCGGGGCGCCACAAGGGCAGCTCGACGCGCACTAGGGGGAGCGCGCCTCGGGGAGAATAGGGCGCGCTCCGGGCAGGAAAAAAAAATCGTGGGTGGGCCCAAAGAACGGTCCTTAGGAGGGACCCGCTCTATACCATGTGAAACTAACTGAACAGGAATGAATTGACTAAGTCAGAGTTGGGTACAAATACAACCCTAGCAAACTGTACCCCATATGTGCTACCCCACTATAGCCTACAAACATGCATCAGCTATAATAATCTGACAGGGGAGACCATAGACAAGGTAACGGGAGGCCATGCCTCGGAGACGAAGCAGGGAGGGGTGACCAAGGCGGTGGTGCCAGAGGAGAGTCCGGTGGGACAAGAGACGACACGAGCAGGGAGCAGACTCAGGACCAGACCTAGATGCTGCAGCAAACACCTGACCCGACGCAGCTACCTGACCAGACTCAGCAACCGGAGGAGACTAAGTAGTCAGTGTATACAGGCTCGACCCCGGCTGACGGGTAAACGTGGCCAAGTGTCGGCCCGTCCGAGCACACGTACAGTGGGTCACCCGCTGACTCGCAGGAGTGAACTGGTCAACCCCCCCATCTTGTAGATCAGCACCACTCACCAAGTTCATAGAGAACAAGGGGAGGTAGAGACCTGAGAGGGTGCCAGAGGGGGCCGCCGGACACGGTAAGACAGTGGAGAAGTGGGCAAGGACAGGACCCCTAGAGGGGTCCGCCAGGGAGACCGCAACTGGCCGACTAAGCGGCGTAAGCGTGGTGCGGTCTCGAAAGAAGGAGCGGGAAGCACCCGAGTCAAGGGTGAAGGTGTGTAAGGCCTGAGCCGACGTGGTACCTGAGAGAGCAAACGCACCAGTACCTGGGGCAGCAGACGCACTAGCACCTAGAGCAGCAGCCTCACCAGCACCTAGAGCAGCAGCCTCAATGCCCGGGTTAAGCGGAACACACAGGTAACAGTCACCCTCATCACTAGTAGACACAACATACATGGCAGCAAGAATAGCATCATAATCCAGATCAAAGATAGCAACCCCCGACCTAAGCAGCTCGCCCCAGCGGGGGATCTCAGTGGCGTCAGGAAACTGGAGACGCCAAGCGTCCGTGAAGCGGCCGAAGGAGCGTTGGGTGGTGTGCGGGCCACCGCACGGCTCACCAGTGCGGTCGTCGGTACGCAAGACGTAGGCACAAGGACCAGCACCCCCACCCCGCTGACGCGCAGCGTACCACTCACGAAGCTGCTGGGGGGGGCGGGGTCTCACGAGTGCGCTGCTGCTGCTGGCGCTGACCACCACCGAAGCCGCTCCGCTGCGCGGAGCCACCCCGACCAGCTCCACCTCCGCCGCCGCCACATCCGCCACCGCCGCCACCGCCTCCTCCTCCGCTCCCACCGCCACCGCCGCCGCCGCCTCCGCCTCCACCGCCGCCACCGAAGCCCCCACCCCCGCCAGCACTCCCACCGCCACCACCACTCCCTCTGCCGCCTCCACCGCCACCTCCACCGCCCCCGCCAGCCCCTCCAGCGCCCTTGCCCCCCTTGCCCTTGCCGGTGCGGCGTCTCCCGCTAGGGGCAGACGCAGCGCCGACTGACTCGGTGCGAACGAAGTCGACGGCAGCAGCAGAGGCAACAGAGGGTTAAAGGGGGGAGGGGGAGCACCCCTCAACGAAGGGGGCACGAGGGTCACCTCGAGAGGCTCCTACAGCGACTATACTCTTCTCTGCTGCCAGGAGGCGCTCCTCGAGGAGGTCAACGGTGAGTGTGGTGGGGCAAACAGAGAGGAAGTGGTCCCTGACCGAGCGAAGGGAGTCAGGGAGCCGGGTGACTATGTAGTAGAGGGTGATTTACATGGGGGGGGGGTTCTTGGCACAGAACTCAGCAGGAAGCGCAGCGCGGTAGCGGGTGTCACTAGTGCGAAGGTGTGTAATGAGGTCAGCGACTGTGGGAAAGGCGGCGAGGTCAGGGAACAGGTACGGCAGCATGAGGCGGCTAAGGGCAGTAGTGGCAGGGGAAGAGTAGCGTGTGACTACAGCGTCGTACAAGGTCCTAGCACTCTTGTAGTGACTGAAGTGCGCGCGCTCAGAGGACGGCAAGTGACTACGCACAGCAAGACGGGCAGCAGCATCGCGTGTGGCCCTTTGTGAGCGAATAGTGCTGTTAGCATCAGCAGCAGGGGCAGCAGAGGCGCCAGACGTGAGATCGAACAGTGAGAGACCGCCTTTCCTATCGCAATGTTGGAAAAGCTGTAGATCATCGACCCAGACCTCAAAGTCTACAGTCCGACCCTCAGCATGAAAGACGAGAACGCTAGGGGTAGCCATGACAGCAGTGGTAGCAGGCTAGGGGCAGCAGCAGCAGTAGCAACAGTAGGGGCGCGGCTCGGCGGTGCTCTTACCAGGGCAGGTGGGTAGAGGTCCGCAAGTGGTGGGGCACAGCGGAGGCGCGCCGGCAGGGACAGGGCCGCTACAGGGCGGCAGAGGACTGCCGCTCCTCTCTGCAGGGCAGGGCCGGGACGGCGGCAGCGGCCCCTGCTGTCGGCGGCGGCGGCGGCGGCTGCAGTCGGCGGCTGCGACGGCTGCGGCCCCGGCAGCGGCGGCAGCGGCTGCTGGTGTTGGCGGCTGCGGCGGCTGCGGCCCCGATTGTGGCGGCGGCGGCTGCTGCTGTCGGCGGCTGCGGCCCTGGTTGTGGCGGCGGCGGCTGCTGCTGTCGGCGGCTGCGGCCTTGGCTGTGGTGGCGGCGTGTGCTGCTGCCGGCGGCTGCGGCGGCTGCGGCCCCGGCTGTGTCGGCGGCGGCTGCTGCTGTCGGCGGTTGCGGTGGCTGCGGCCCCGGCAGTGGCGGGAGCGGCTGCTGCTGTCGGCGGCTGCGGCCCCGGCTGTGGCGGCGGCGGCTCCTGCTGTCGGCGGCTGCGGCGGCTGCGGCCTCGGTAGTGGCGGCGGCGGCTGCTGCTGTCGGCGGCATCGGCGGTGGCGGCTCCCGCTGCAGGGGCGGCGACGGTTGCTGCTGCAGGGGCGGCGACGGCTGCTGCTGCAGGGGCGGCGACGGCGGGGCGGCAGGTCCATGAGAGAGCCGAGAAGGGGCTGCGGAGGAGCCGAGAAGGGGCCACTAAGGGCGGTGAAGGGGCTGTGAAGGGGCCGTGAGGGGCCGCGAAGGGTGGCGACGGGGCCGAGAAGGGGCCGTGAGGGGCCACGAAGGGCTGCGACGGGGCCGAGACGGGGCCGTGAGGGGCCGCGAAGGGCGGCGACGGGGCCAAGACGGGGCCGTGAGGGGCCGCGAAGGGCGGCGACGGGGCCGAGAAGGGGCCGGGAGGGGCCGCGAAGGGCGGTGACGGGGCCGTGAAGGGCGGCGACAGGGCCGCGAAGGGCGGCGACGGGGCCGTGAAGGGCAGGGGACGCGACGGGAGGGCAGGCACACGGGGCGCGACTCGGGCAGGAGCGAAGCGCGCTCCGGGCAGGAAAAAAAAAATAGATCGTGGTGGGCCCTAGAAAACGTTCCCACTAGGGAACCTGCTCTATACCATGTGAAAGAACGAGGAAGTGGATACACCGGGAAACAGGTGGGTACAAGTAGGAAAACCTAAAAGTGTTGTACCCCATATTGTCTACCCCACTACAGCCTACACAGACTATAGCATATAAGTTTGACACAGCTGGACTAAATTGGTGCCATTTGCAGCATCTGGAAAGGAAGATATGGTGTTTCGAACAATCTTGCAGGGAAAAGTGAACAAGGACGGGCCTGTGCGTCACGAGGCATTGATTCGACGTCCGTATCCTACTCAAGACAAGGTTTCTCTTGTTCATTCATATATTTACAAAAATGCAAGCAAGCTGGACAGATTTGGTGCCATTCGCAGCATCAAGAAGGAAGATATGGTGTTTCGAACAATCGTGAAGTGAAAAATGTGCAAGGATATATCAGAACATTATAGCTTATGCTTTTGTGTAGGTTGTAGTGGGGTAGCCTATATGAGGTACAACCCAATTAGGGTTAGTACTTGTACCCAACTCTTTCATACTGCATTCATTCTCGTTCATTCTCACATGGTTTCAGAGCACATATGCTCCTGGCCTGTGGGTCCTACTACTGCTTCCGCTGCTACTAGATCTGTCGCACGCCCCGTGGCATGCGACCTATTTTTGGCGCGCGGCGATTTTCTCTCTGGCGCGCGCCCCGAGGCGCGCGGCCCCGTTCCTTCTAGGCGCGCCACTCCCCGCTACCCCGTCGCGGCCCCATCTCGTCGCGCCGCCCTAGCGGCCGCGTCGCGCCGCCCTCGCGGCCCCGATCCGCCGCCCTAGCGGCCCCGTCACCTACCCCTGCGGCCCCGGCGCCGCCCATCCCGGCCCCGGCTCCGCCCTTCCTGGCCCCGGCGCCACCTCGGCTGGCCCCGTCGCCTACCCCGGCGACCCCGACGCTGCCCTTCCCGACCCGGCCCCGCCTCTGCTGGCCCCGTCGCCTACCCCTGCGGCCCCGGCTCTGCCCTTCCTGACCCCGGCGCCACCTCGGCTGGCCCCGTTGCCTACCCCGGCGACCCCGACGCCGCCCTTCCCGACCCGGCCCCGCCTCTGCTGGCCCCGTCGCCTACCCCTGCGGCCCGGGCGCAGCCGTTCCCGGCCCCGGCACCACCTCTGCTGGCCCCGACGCCGCCCTTACCGGCCCCGGCGCCGCCTCTACTGGCCCCGTCGCCTACCTCTGCGGCCCCGGCGCCGCCCTTCCCGGCCCCAGCGCCGCCTCTGCTTGCCCCGTCACCTACCCTGCGGCCCCGGCGCCACCTCTGCTGGCCCCGTCGCCGCTCCACGCGGCCCCGCCGCCGTCCCCAAGCGGCTCCGCCGTCACCACCGAGCCGCCGGCGCCGCCGAGCTGCTACCGAGCCGCCCGAGCCGCAGCGCCACCTGACCTGCCCGAGCCGCCGAGTCGCCGAGCCGCAGTTGCCGCCGAGCCGCCCGAGTCTCCCGAGCCGCCGAGCCGCAGTACGTGCCGAGCCGCCGTGCGGCCGCGCCGCCCGAGCCGCCCGCACCGCTGAGTTGCCGAGTCGCCGAGTCGCCGAGCCTGCTCTTCCCACCACTGGTGAGCCCTTGCCTTGCTAGCGCGCTGCCCGTCGCTTGCTTACCTGCCTGGCTGCCTGCCTTACTACTGCTACTCCTGCTCCTGCTTCTACTGGCGGAGCCAGATGCAGCCCCAGCGACGTCCGCGTGAGTCCCTCACGCCCCAGCAGCTGCGTGAGTGGTACGCTGGTTGGGGTTGTAGGGGTGGCGGCGCTGCTACTGCTACCACTACTGCTGCTACTACTACTGGCGGCGGCCAGATGCAGCTCCAGCGACGCCCACGCGCGTCTCTCACGCCCCAGCAGCTTCGTGAGTGGTACGCTCAGAGTAGAGGGCCTCTCAGTTCTGTTCGGTGCTCTTACGTGATTCGCACTGGTGCTCCGACTGGTCAGCCTTGTGGGACACCTAGTCACACACAGTCCCGCTGCTTCGCCCGTCTGAGCGACGCCTAGCGTACCAAGTTTGGCGACGAGGTTGAGCTCCCCGACTGGGTGGAGTTGCTTAGGCAGAGGGTAGATATATTTGCTCTTGACTATGATACTATTCTCACTGCCATGTATGCATTGCCTACTAGTGCTGACCGTGCCGGTCACTTGTGCGTACCGCCTGACCCGGGTATAGAGCCTGCTGCTCTAGCTGCTGGTGAGGCTGCTGCTCTGGGTGCTAGTGAGTCTCCTGCTCCAGGTACAGGTGCGGCTGCTGCTCTAGGTGCTAGTGAGTCTGCTTCCTCAGGTGCGGGTGAGTCTGCTCTCTCAGGTACCGCGTCGGCTCCGGCCTCTCACACCTTCACTCTTGACTCGGGGGCTTCCCGCTCCTTCTTTCGAGACCGCACCAAACTCACGCCGCTTGGTCGGCCAGTTGCAGTCTCTCTGGCAGACCCCTCTGGGGGTCCTGTCTTTGCTCACTTCTCCACTGTCCTCCCTTGTCCGGTGGCCCCCTCTGGCACCTTGTCTGGTCTTTACCTCCCCTCGTTCTCTACGAACTTGGTGAGTGGTGCTGACCTACAGGATGCGGGGGTTGACCAGTTCACTCCTGCGAGTCAGCGGGTGACCCACTGCACGGACGCTCGAACAGGCCGACACCTAGCCACGTTTACACGTCGGCCGGGGTCGAGCCTATACACGCTGACCACTGCGTCTCCTCCAGTCACTGCGTCTGGTCAGGTAGCTGCGTCGGGTCAAGTGTTTGCTGCAGCGTCCAGGTCTGGTCTTGAGTCTGCCCCCTGCTCGTGTCGTCTCCTGTCTCACGAGACTCTCCTCTGGCACCACCGCCTTGGTCACCCCTCCCTGCTTCGTCTCCAAAGCATGGCCTCCCGTGTCCTTGTCTCTGGTCTTCCCCGGTCCCTCCCTCCCCTTCCTCCGGGGCCTGGCCCTACCTCCGTCCCCTGTGTCGAGGGGCAGCAGCGGGCTGCCCCTCACTCCTCTCAGTTTCCTCCGACAGAGGCCCCGCTGCAGACGCTTCACATGGACGTGTGGGGCCCAGCCTGCGTCCGTGGACAGGGTCACGAGCACTACTTCCTGCTAGTGGTTGACGACTACTCGCGTTACACCACAGTCTTCCCCTTGCGCAGCAAGGGTGACGTCACTGAGGTGTTGATTGACTGGATCCGCGCAGCTCGTCTCCAGCTCAGGCGGAGCTTCGGCTCGGACTTCCTTGTTTTGTGTCTGCACTCTGACCGAGGGGGAGAGTTCTCCTCTGGCCTTCTGCGAGCCTACTGTCGTGCACGAGGCATCCGCCAGACCTTCACGCTTCCGGACTCTCCACAGCAAAATGGGATTGCTGAGCGCCGCATTGGCATGGTCATGGACGTTGCCCGTACGTCCATGATGCATGCCGCTGCCCCCCATTTTCTGTGGCCGTTTGCGGTCCGGAACGCGGCGCATCAGATCAACCTTCAGCCCAGGGTCTCCATGCCGGAGACCTCCCCAGCTTTGCTGTGGACGGGGAAGGTTAGCGATGCGTCTGCGTTCCGTGTCTGGGGATCTCGGGCGTTTGTCCGCGACTTGTCTGCGGACAAGCTGTCCCCTCGTGCTGCTCCCTGCGTCCTCCTGGGTTTCCCCCCTGACGCCCAAGGGTGGCAGTTCTACCACCCCACCTCTCGCCGTGTTCTGTCCTCCCAGGACGTCACGTTCGATGAGTCGGTTCCCTACTACCGTCTCTTCCCCTACCGCACTCCATCCCTCCCCCCGCCACCACTCTTCCTTGTGCCAGGTCCCCCCCCGGTAGATCCCCTCCCCCCTCAGGGTCCTGCCCCTTCAGGTTTGTCCCAGGTAGACGCTGTTGAGCCTGTCGAGGTCGCTGGTGACTCTAGTGGTGCTGAGGGTGCTGAGCCTGGGGATGCTGACTCTGGGGGTGCTGAGCGTGTGGGTGCTACGCCTGGGGGTGTTGAGTTTAGGGGTGCTGAGCCTGGGGGTGCTGAGCCTGGGAGTGCGGAGCCTGGGGGTGCTGAGCCTGGGGGTGCTGAGCTTGGGGGTGCTGAGCCTGGGGGTGCTGAGCCTAGGAGTGCTGAGGCTGGGGGTGCTGAGCCTGGGGGTGCTACGCCTGGGGGTGCTACGCCTGGGGGTGCTATGCCTGGAGGTGCTGAGCCCGAGGGAGCTGGGCCTGCTCGTGTGGCGTCTGGCGGTGCTGTGCCTAGCGGTTCTCCGGGTGCTTCGTCTCGCCGGGAGCCACTCTCTCCACAGGAGTTGCGTGAGTGGTTGGCCCGGCGCTGGAGGCGAGCTGCTGGAGCTGGAGATGCTGCGGGTACTGGAGGTTCTGCTACTGCTGAGGGTGCTGGTGCCGCGGGTCCCGGAGGTGCTCGTACTGGGAGTACTGGAGCTGCTGGGCCTGCGGGTACTTCTGGAGTTGGAGCTGCTGCGGATGTTGACGCGGTGGCTACAGCTATCGGTCCTGGAGGCGGTCCTACTGGGGGTGCTACTGGTGCTGCTGGAGGTACTGGAGCTGGAGGTGTTGCTGGTGCTGGTGCTGCCGCTGGGGGTACTGGTGCTGTCCCTGCTGTGTCTGAAGTCGCCGCGCGGCCTCGGCCGTACTTCGTTCCGCTCCTTCAGCAGGTTCTTGGTCTCCCGCCTTCTACTGGTCCTCCTCCTCCCTTTGAGTGTCCACAGCCTGTCCCGTCACAGTTACACTTACAGCCGGCCTCCCCACTGCCTGATCCGTCTCCCTACACTGGTCCTACTGGAGGTCTTGCTGAGCGTCGTGAGCCTGCGTCTCTCCCTGCGTCGCATGTCCGTGCTGCTCGCACTAGTGGTCGCGGTTCGCGTCAGCGTCCTCCTCCTGTCCCTGGCACGCACCGGATGTCTCTGCGTCCGTCCACTGCTCCTCTGCGTGCCCCTTTACCTTCTCCTCCTGAGTATTCTCTTCCTGCTCTTGCCGACCCGGAGTCGGACTCTCTTCGTGCTGCCAGTCCTACTGTCACGCGTCTCCTTGCTACTGTCGTCACTGACCCTTCCTTTGAGTCCACTGCTGTGTCTGCCCTAGTTGCTGAGCTCGTCGACTTTGCTGCTCGCTGTCGCCTAGACTACGCCGCCAGTCTTGTTGCTGAGTCTGAGTCA